CAATTAGGCAAATCAAATGGAAATGTCAAATTTTAGGTTAATTTTGTAGGCAAATAAAAATGTTACTAAACCATTGATTTTTATCTTGTTATTGTTATGCTAGAAAAAAATGGTGCCCCCTACAATATATTTTTCTGCGTCCGCCACTGACTATTGTTGTTGGAATCTTTGTTTGGTGCACTGTTGATATTGGGATTTTGCTTTGCTCTTGATGATCGTATCATGTCTCTTGTCATGTATTCAAAAAAAAAGTTTTACTTTTAACAGATCATTTTAGTTTACACCCGTGGTTTCTGGTGTAAGGTTTTCAGGTCCAGTCTGCAAACACATAATACAAAAAAACTGTTTGGTGTCTTTGGTCCTGCACTAGATTATATATATAGCTTGTTGAGCCAAATTACAAGAAGAAATGCAGATTTTAACCCTGTTATAATTTTAAAAAGATGTACCTATATTATCGAATTTGGTTACTGATACCAATTTGTAATGGTCACTGTTCAAGTAAAGAGTAAACAGTTATATAGTTAATTTCAACCTGATTTCTTTTTTGCATATAACAATTAAAAATTATATTTTGTTTCTGTAGGCTATGTCAAGGAAAAATTCTGAGAATAGGGGGAAGCGAAAGTATGTTGCTTTAAACGGTACAGTGAGCACTCCAAATCACCATTTTCGAAATAGATGATTGTCCGACAATCCTCTTATCGGTGAGATGGAGACTTTTCGAAAGTTGCATTATAGAGAAAAAGAGGGTTGGGTTAATGACTATTCTCGCACTTCATATGTAAGTTACGTTTAACGAACTCTTTTTCATGTCTTCATCGTTTTATAAATCACTAAGATTTATATATACCATTTTTATGTCCATAGGAGAACATGGTAGAGATTAAGCGGCAAACTAAATCAACAGAAAATCCTCCGGGTGATCTAGAGATTATGCAACAAGTCTTAGGTAAAAACCTGCATATATTAGGGGATGGTCAAGGGTCCGGAGCAGTAGGAGCAATTCTACAAGTTCGCGACATAGCACTGGTGTGTGAGGTCGATTGAGCCACACCGAGATGTCTAATAGACTTGCTTCAACGGAGTCCGAGCTTGCTTCAACCAAATCCGAGCTCTTTCTTATGAAAGATAAAGTCGCTGAGTTGCGACAAATGGTGAGGTCAATTGTATCCGGCGGGTCAGTTCCAAGTTTTTCATCTTCATTAACTGTTCAAGACCAACATTCGGAGACTCAAGGTTGTTAAACATGCTATGATGATTTTGGATGTTTTTTTGTTGATAAATTTAGACGATATATGAACTAGTTGAATATTAAATTTTGATGGTTCTTATAATATATAATTATATAACAAATCTATAATAAAAATTGTTTTGAGGTTATTATTAATTTGTTCCTGATTAATTTAATATTATTTAGTAGTTTAATTTTATTATAATATATATTATAGTATATTTTTTAGAGAATGAATTAATTTTTTAAAAGTGTGACTAAAGATAATTTTTAGAGAACATTTTGAGTTTGTGTATCTTAATATCATATTTAGAGAAGATTTTGTAACCGTAACTAATTAGGATTTTTAGAAAAGGTTTTTTAAAAGTGTCAGAAAACCGATATCTTTAGAAAAGCTTTTCCATTATCTTCTCTAAAAGTATATTTTAGTAACTCTTACAAACCGTCACAAATACTTGAAAAGTGTCACTAATATATACTTTTAGAGAAGCTTTGAATAAAAAGTTGACTAACCTTTAGAGAAGCTTTTAAAGCGTATCTAAAGCCCCAAAATACAGTCTCTAAAAGTCAACAAACAAACACCCTTTCAAATCCCTCTCGATTACCCTTATATAGAGGAGTTTTTTGACGGAATTGAAAAGTTTCTCTAAAGCCTTTAGACAAGCTTTTGAAACTTTTAAGTACAAAACAAAAGCTTCTCTGAAGGTCATTTTTCTTGTAGTGAACACTACAATAAAATCAGGTTTGTATAGCACCAAAAACTGTATCTTAGAGGAAAAAAAAACAAAAAAACCAAACACTACAATAAAAAACGGATTTGCTGATATCAACAATGTATAAGGGGCTGTTTGGCAGTTGCTGAATGATTTAGTGCAGAATAGTTAAGAGGTCAGAATGGTTAAGAGGGTCAGAATGGTTAAGTGCTGAATAAAATAATGTTGTTTGGTAACTGTTCTCTGAATGACAATAAATTACCATTTTAACCCTCATMTAACAAAAACCCATTATTCGTATTCGATTCAACTTCATCCAAATCATGGGAAGCCTCATGAACACCTTCTTCTTCTTGATCTTCAAAATCATCTTTTTCATACTTAAAAACTCTGGAAAAAAAACATGGGTTCTGATTCAAACTCCCTTCAATGGCTTCCATTAATCCAACCCTAGAATCATTTAATACCCCCTTTGAAGAAGAACTGCCATGGTTAACAAAAGACGACACCATTTCCCACACCATCAAAGTTCTGTATATTGTACACTTGACGACCCCAGAAGTCTTGTGAGGAGATCGACAGGTACACTCGATTTCTTTTTAGGGTTTAATTTTGAAAGGAAGGGAAGCGACGACGATGAATTGAACGAGGGATTTTGGTGGGTAAAGTGGGCTGTGATTTTGGTGGGTAAAGTGGGCTGTGATTTTGGTGGATAAAGTGGGCTGTGATTTTGGTGGATAAGGTGGCGACGGGATGGTGAAGGCAGATGAGAGGAGGGGAAAAGATGGTGAGAAGGTAGAAGATGGGGAGGAGGGAGATGAGTCTGTAAAAATGGGATGAGACGACGGGGAGAGCGACGGTGACCGGAGATGGTGACCGGAGATGGCGATCGTGACCGGAGATGGCGACCGGAGATGGTGACCGGAGATGGCGACCGGAGATGGCGATCGTGGGGGGTGGGAGGCGATGTGAAGGAATGCTGTGTAGAGAGGGAAAATCTGGAAAAGTTTAGATCTGAATGGTTGAGTGAAGGGTTTGACACAAAATGGTTAAGAGGTATATGTAACCATTAAGAGGTTTCATATTTTGTGCCAAACACTCCAAACCTCTGACTAATTAAGAGGCTCCCTCTTAATGTCACCATTAAGAGGGAAACAAACAGCCCCTAAGTATCCTAATAGGTCGATTTATAGGTTTTAAGATAATAAAAAGTCTTATCTAAAGGTGTTGTAATAAATTTACAAGACGCGTTTGTATGTCTTAACAAGTTCTTTATGATACTTTTGATAAGTGTCTTATAAACATATATTTCTATAAGACACTTGTTTTTATAAGACATCTTTTTAAATAGTATCCTTACAAATAGTTATTACAATGTTTTTTCATATAAAAAAAAGTTGTAAAAGACTTGTTACGACGTCTAAAAATGCCCTGTAAACTTAATACAACAAAATTGGGTTTGTAAATGTCCCAAATAGACTACTTTATAGAGCTCAAGTTTATAGAACCAAACGATAAAGCATCATATCTTAGAGTGTTGCAATAAGTCTATAGGATGTTTTTTCGGTGTCTTAACAAGGTTTTTAGAATATTTTTAAATTAAAGCATCATATTAGCTACTTTATATGAAAAAATGTATTATAGAATTATGTGTCTTATAAAAAGATGTGTTTATATGATACTTCTCAAAAGTGTCTTATAAAATAGCTAATACGACGTTTTATTTTAAAAATGTTCTAAAAAACTAAAGTTGAATCTCTCATAACCTAGAACCTCATCGAGTACAATATCTCTCACATCTTCCAATGGAAGATAATGGATGTCGACTCCATATCTATCCCACAAGATGGCTCGTCGTCGTCCTTCAACTGTGATACAAACTTACAAACCAAAACACCACAATCGCCAAGGGAGGTCGTCTACTGCGGTACATTAGGAGAAATATCTGAAATATGAAATTCCAAATCAATCATATTCAAATGTTTAATTTTATAAACGAATTTAAAATTGTACACCATACCCGACTCACGCTGCACCACCCTGGAAATGCGGACTCTATGCCATTGGCATAAGGAACAACCTAATAGGGCCCTTGCTGCCTAACCAAGTAGTTCCAAAATTGTGGAGTCTGTGTTGTCCACCGAGGATCAAGTTACCTTGATTCAAATATGAGGCGTACCCATGTCTCAATATGCTGTAAATCAAATACAAAAATTTAATCAATATTATAGAATCCTATTAGTTGAGTTCTAATACTAAAATTAAACACTCATTATGTTCAATGTGTAAGTCTTTAAAAGTTTATTTATAACTTACTCTGAAACTTGTCAAGCTTAATTAGAAATGTTCAAGTCGATTGGCTTTAATCTCCCTTACTCTTTCTACATGTTCCTCCAAGTTGCATTTTGGTGTAGCTTCACTCAAATGAAGCTACATAAGTATAAGCATACCCTAACATTCAATGATGAAGAAGATGTCGAGAGAGTCAGACGATTAAAGCTAACAAACTTGAACATTTTTGACGAAGCTTGGCATAAATTGTGTGATAATTGGAGTTCAAACAAGTTTCATGTAAACTACGAGTTCAATTGTTAAAACTTTACACATTGAACTTAATGTGTGTTGATATTTAATTGATCTCCAATATAAGAAATTACTTCTTTCACTTATATATGTTTTAGACTAATGTGGGATTATTGGTCGCCTTGACCATATTTGTTACTTTTCAAGCTTCGTGTGATTACAAGTGCGTGTACAGATGGTGGCCATAACGCTTATCTAATTCATGTAATACATCAAACCAAGAGGTGGTGGCCATAACGCTTATCTAATTCATGTAATACATCAAACCAATAATGGTATGGAGTTTAGAACACAAAATGACAAAAAAATGATCAAAGCTATGATGAAGTAAATGGTGTAAGCAAAACAAATGCCCTACTAAAGAAAGCATAAATTTGTTATTACTTGTAGGACATAAAACCCACACCATAATTCTTATAATAAGGTATTTAGGTCCTAAATGTCTTCAAACAACTTAGCCTTCATGTAGACAGTCGGATACGCATTGAAAAATAAAGTCAACACTTAGTCTAGTATTGATTCATCCACTGCACTTACAACTCCTATCCTTCTTGTTTTTGAGCATATTTCTCCTACTTAAGAGGATGAATTAAAATTCCTAACTATAATATAATTGTATATATACTTCTTAAGATGCCAATGGCACTTGACTCATGTCGTTTGGAGCTACGACCGATTTTATACGAATTCCATACCAATGGTATGCAGTTCCCGAGTAAAAAGATACGGGTTTTGAAAGTAGATGATTTGAGATTTTTTTATGCGTCGCTACTCGACTTTATTTACCAAATGAGAGTTTCTTCGGAAAGATTTGGATCCCCATCTCTTATTGTCAACTCGTGAGACTAACCATTGTTGTAATGACCGATCAATTCTTCGTTGCGTCGACCACTTTGGTAACAATATTGACGGCTATTCAAGAGACGGTCTATATACCTCAAGTTGAGCGTCCATTTAAACTTGTCGAATTCTTGAACTTGAGTACCTACGGTTTTCCTGCAACAGGAGAAAACTTAAGAAAAAGTGCCATGTATTCAGCAACAGTTTCTTCCCCACCTTGCTAGATAGTTGCATATTCTCGCACATAAGCATCATGATCTACCGATGTAAAGTACTGCTCGAAGAAAAATTGCTTGAAGTTATCCCAAGATAAATCTCTAACATATGAGATAATTTGGATCCAAGTTTCCCACCAGTTGTTGGCTTCTTTCTCGAACATATAAGTGGCCAAGAGGACCTTGTATTGATATGGGGTATCCAAGACATTGAAAATCTTTTCGATGTGTGGAATCTAGTTTTTGGCATCCACCGAATCTACAACAACTGAGAATGACTAAGGTTTTCGTTTGTTAAATCTCTCCAGCTATGTACAAATTTTCCCAGCCGGGATACTAGAATTTTCAGTAGTTGTTGTAGGGCCAGAATTTGGGTTCGGAGGAAGATTTTGTGTTGCCTGTCGCATAGCCTGGATGGTCTGCTCGAGATATCTAGGCATCGATACATCAGCAATGTTAGGCTCACTTTTGCCCCACATTGAGGTTCCAAGGGAGATTGATAGGGACAAGACTTAAAATCGAGTGTGGAACTTTTGGAGTCTTTAGACTCGCCTAAAAATTTTAATGTTCTAAGTTTATAAACATTTTTTGAAATGTAATATTTTGGGTCAAAAGCATGCTTTAGAAGTTGTAATCTATGTTTGAAGTTTATTAGTATCTTTGAATTAGTTGTCTTTATATAAAGTCCCTTAGTGACATTGTCGTTCTGAACCACGTGGACAGATGACGTTACAAATGAAATAGTTTATTGTTTTTTTATTAAAATAATTTAGAAGCTCAACAAAACTTTAGACTAGACTCCCCATACTAAGTATCAACCGCCTTCTATATACATATACTTTACTATCTCATAGGTCATATAGTACATCTCGAATATCGATCGAGAAATATTACGGGGTGAAATATTTGGTTATTGCAGAATCCAGACTCTTAAGGTTAATAATACCTTGAATAATAAATGGCTATACATCATATCATGTGAAACTGTCTTTACCTTAAGCTATATGTTTTCACGGCTTATTAGTTGGGGGAAAATTTATGTACTTCGAAATATTTTACATAACTTATGATTCATATAACTTTGTTTTTTTAAATGTAAAAAGTTTTGGGCTCGTTAGCCCATCAATAAACGTAGCCTGTTTTAGGACATGTATGGACTAATTATCAAGCCCACAAAAACGAGTTTAGACTTAATATATTAAGATTCATTGGACGAGAAAATCAAGTTGGTCCCGTTTGGCGACTACCCAATCTCATAAATGATCACCTCTAAGGGAGACTCTAGAGGTCAAGTCTAAAAGACCCCATGGGTAGAAATATTGGTTTCATATGGTTTTAGCGATTGGTGTTAGAAGTCTTTTTTATGGGGTTCAACATTCATTGTTGATAATAACTTTTTATATTGTGTTATAAATTCATCGATATTTTATTTTCATAGTTTCCTTATTGACTAATAGTTGTGTCTCGTTTGATTTACAGGATTGAATTGAATTTGGAAATAAATTCTATTTCAATCCGGTTTAAAGGATTTACTAGATATGAAATCCTAGGATTTCATTGAATTCCCACATCTATAGGATTCTGAAATCCCACGAAGGCTTCTGGTTTTCATGGGATTTGTATGTAATAATTTTTTTAAAAATGTTAACAACATTTGTTTTGTAATAATCAATTAATAAAAAAGTAATTTGATTACTTTTATAAATTACTTATAAAGAATGGTATACATTCCATTTCAAATCATACAAACCGAACTAATAGAATCACAATCCTTCTAATTCTAAATCTGAATACGAAACCAAGACAGAACTTTTACTTGTTCAAATAACAATTAAGGTGAAGCACGGTCAGGAACGACAAATCTCTTTATGATAAACAGATTCGTTTTGCAAGTTCGTTATAACGAGTAGTTCCTACAAAGAATCAGACGAATGATGTATACAATACCTGAATTCTCTCGGTGTAGATGCTACTATTCCACAAAACCAAATAACCAGGATGCTTCTTGTAGACAGATAACCATGCTTTATATACTTTTTATTGCATAATTATGCCTCTATTAATTAATTTATATGCTAATTAGAGATTTCTTATATCAAAAAATCTCAACAAAAAAAAAGTTCATATTCAAGAATAAAAAGGTTGTTTTTAATGATAATATGTAATAAATATTTCTAACTTATACAAAACAAAGCAAAAACGATCCCGATCTATAAAAACGTTATTAAGAGTACTGTACCTTAATAGTATAATTCCGAGTCCACCAATTCCAACAATCAGATCAAGATCATCGCCATCAGATCTTATCATATCTACGTTCGTGAAAACAAAAACGATCCCCATCTTTCATGGCATAACTCGCTACGTACGTTGCTAGTCGATCCGAATGCCAAAAACGTAAGTCGATATTAAGATCGGAAAATAAGCAGATGAAGTTAAATCACAAGTAAATTGAAGGCTGAAAATGGTGGATTTATGAGATAGATCCAATGGAGGAGGAGGAAATGTAAAGGGTGTCGGTGGTATTATTTATGATAATGTTAAGCCACATATATTTTATCTGAATATTTTTTAGAGTAAACTATGGTCCTTGAGGTTTGTTCAAATAGTTTTAAAATCCCAAGATGGTCATCTTAGTTTGTAAAAATGTATGATTTTGGTCTCTCTTTAACGGTTGTTAAAAAACTTCGTAAAATAAAGGGCATTTCGTTCTTTTATCAATTTTTCTATCTTTTATTTAATCAAAACCCACAATGACCAAAACCATGTCTCTCAATTAATGGAATTTTTAACGGTCGAAGGACAAAGTCTAAATGTTTTTACAAACTACGATGGCCATTTTGTAATTTTGAAACAATAGAGACAAAAAATGTTATTTGCAAACCATATGTTACTCTGTTTTTTATTTTGGTTGTGTTACTATGCTTTGGGCGGTGAAATGGACTTGGAATTATAGATTGTCAAATTGGGTCCGGTCCGGTCCGGTCATGGTAGCAGAGCCAGATGGGATTGGGACTGGTTTATAAAATGGTGGATCGGGATTGGTTAAACAATGAAACAAATACATGTAAAAATAGTATTATGAAACAAATATATGTTAAACAATATCTTAAATCGTAGCCTTTGATGAAAAACAAAATAGAGGAAAAAAAATTTATATCGGTTTGAACGAGTTTTTAACATTTTTATGGTTCTCATTTGATTTGTCCATTTATATACACGACCTAACACATAATAACTTTGAGTATCTAAAAGTGGTATATAAAAACTAGAAAGAGAAAGACGACTATATATAAAAACATTACTCTACTCTACGTTATTACTTATTAGACTATGCAAAAGGGTTTTATTTTGTTTTGATATTTGATGTAACATTTTTTATTAAATATTTACAAACAAATTATTATATAAAGTTGATGATTAGAGCATAAAATATAAATCTCTAGTACATATGAATTTCAGTAGAGTTAGTTTTAAGGACGAGAAAATCAACAAATTACAATTCATATCACTATTACAAAACAGAGTATCATCAACGGTCAAAATCCATTCGCAATTTGACAGAACATTGGCGAATATCCTATTACGGCCAAATTTCCCAATGAAAACAAAATCCATTGGTGAAATCTAATATTTTCGATACGAACTGGGAAATACTTTATTTTCTAAATTTTGAAATGATTTTCCACAAGTTGGTGATTGATCGATTGAGAGAACAATTTCTTTGAGCAAGACAATCGATTAGGTTGAAGGCGAATGGATTTGGTTAAAGAAACGGTAAGAGCATAACAAGAGGTGGGTTAACCTCCTATTAGATCAAATAGTAAAATGTTTTCATATCTTATCAAATAAAAAACAAACATTTTGAAGGTAACAGTCTTCAATTTGGTTCCAACTGAATATTTGTCAAGTGTTTTTATATCTTATGTTGCCTCAACAGATCTTAACCTTACAGTCTCAACATTGTACGAATTTTGTGTAATATACAAGAAGGAGCATCGTTTGGTTTTATCTCTTTTCTGAGGGTCAATATACCCAATGCCATGTCCTAGAACGTAGGCGAGCGCTGCATCTGAAATCATGGAAGATGACATACAAGTCTTTCGATTATGCATGATGAACACAATTACAAACTTGTTCTCAAAATGCCATTATTTTGTATTCTTCTTGTGTACTTTTCTTGATCTATCATAGGATGATATATATAATTGATATAAGATAGCCTAGAATAGAGCCATTAACTTTGGAAGCTTTGGATTTGATCAAGCTTGGAGCCGGCTACGATCATGTTACAAGATTATCCGTCGGCTATGGCGGAGCATGTTGGATTCAAGATTTTGTCAAGAATCTTGAGTTGATGCTTGAAGTGATGACAACTAGTATCATCGAGTTTGAATCCTTAACTATATATACAAGAGAAAGACAAAAGGTGTTTGAAATGGTTTGTAATTTAAACAGTAGAATTAGTCTTGCTGTTCCTCATCAGTGAACATCGTTTATTTGTGTTTGGAGACTTTGTTTATATTTTATATTGTGTTTGAATCAATCAATGTGTATTTTGGTTAGATTTTTGTATGTCTTAAAAATGGAGAAATAGACAATTATACATATTTAAACATTTCTCAATTTATAAAAGCAAGCAGTCTTATTTATTCAGATTTCAGATTTCGCACCACCTCTTATCAATTATAGTTGGAATAAAACTTTAGATTTCAACACTTCTTAAAACAAACAATATCTAAGGAATTGTTTGGCAAACATAAGTTAACTTATAAGTTAGCTTAATTTTTGGGTAACCGTTTGGATGCACGTAAGCTAGCTTACTAATAACCTAACTCATAAGCTAGATTATAAGCTAGCTTATTAACAAGGTACTTGAAGTAACCCTTATTAATATTAATTATTAGTTATAGATAAATATTAATAATTAATAAATATTAATTTATAGTAACTAATTTTAATTATATAATAACTATTTATAATAAATATTAATTATTTATAAAAAATAACATTAAATAATAAATAGTAATATGGATTAATTGTAATTTTGATTCGGCCAAATTAATATATTCAACCAAGTCGGAGCGGAGTTCATGATAAACTTTATTTGAGGGCATCTCAAAATTTAATTGAAGATATTATTGGAATTTGTGATAACTTGATTCTAGTTATCACCCAAGGTAAATAATATGTGATTATTTGATTAAATGATTACATGATAGAATGATAAATTGTTACGTTTGATCATGCTGAGATATGAAAATGTGCATAATATGAAATGCATATGTTATGTATTTACATGTATGCATGGTATATATATATATATATATATAT